AAAAAAGCCTAAAATATAAGGAAATAATTACGCGAATAATACACAGAAACTCGCTTTTAATGATACAAAATGGAAAATAAATACTGAATTATATATTTTTTGTGGGATTTTATTGTAATTTTACAGTAATTTTCTGTAAATTAATTAGAAATCATTTGCAATTTTTCGCGATTACAATAAAAGACAATAAATAATATTAATATTTTTTGCAGTCATTTGTAAGCAAAAAATGGGAATTTCTTTCCCAAACGAATTAATCAAAATATATGTTTTAACATTAAGTGCTCTCGAGTTCACTGATTTCGATGTCCTTCTCATCTGAAGACAGTATTTTATTTTGTCGTTCAATAAGAAATTTTTCACTCACAAAAATTTTCATCCCTTAAATGGTTGAAGAATTTGACAGAAAGTGTCAAAAAGGGACAGAAAGCGACATAAGCCGCGCTTCAATGGACACTAACACTACTAATACGGCATATATTTTATATGAGCGCCGGATTGTGGGACAAGAGATTGGGTTCACAAATATATACCCAGAGATTGACTACCGATTCAATGAAATGATGTATTGTTCACATTGTGTGACATAACCATCGGTCCTATTATTCCTTATCTTTTATTTCTTTTTGTAAAAATCAAATTTTTGTTGAAATAAAGTAATAATTCATGAATTTTTAATAATAATAAAAATATTAGAGATTTATGCGGCGATAGATTGCTGTGAGAAAAGACAAGATATATTGAGATAATCTGATGGTAAAGCCATAACTCAATCCTACGCTAAACACTCTCTCACCGATCCTTACGTTTAGGTCTTAATCATCACATTTTATGGGACTGTTGTGTCACTCAATTGACAAACAAGTGCCTGATATATGTGTATACCGTTGACTGGGATGGGATCTAACGCCTCGGGCGCTCATTACTAACCATTTCCGAAATTCACAATAAAATCTACATAAATATAGTACTGGAGACTAGAAATGCAAAAATCATTAGCTCTACACTACCGGTGCAGCCGTCGCTGTAGAGGGAGTGCGAGTATTGAGTGGTTTTTGTGAGACAATTGAGGAAAATCATGAATCAATAAATAGAAATGAGGGCAACAATAGTCTAAACCCCATCTGTGACTATACACTGACTATACACTACTGTCCGTCAAATTTTATCAATGATTTATGAATGCATCGAATCGTACGATTAGGAGACCAGAAATGCAGATCTCGAGGGAGAGAGAGAGAGAGAGAGAGAGAGAGAGAGAGAGAGAATATACAGAAGCGGGTCAGATGTGTAAGAGAGACGAAGGAGAGAATGCGAGACGAAGTGATGGTTCGCATGTTATATCTCATACAAACTCATAACACATAACATACAGACGTGTAATATTAGATGAGATGAGGAGAAAAGAAAATAAGAGGCGAAAATTGCCAGAAATGGGCAAATGTATGGGGAATGGGATTGAGTGGTCACGACATACAGACCAACAGATACCAGAATATGAGATGAGCCCAACACTGCCTGTCAGGACCCTAACAAACGGGGCCTGTTTTGGGCCAATCATTTCCCGGGCAAACATGTTCTTCATCTCAGTCTTCACGAGTTTTGCAAAACATAAATCTCACTCTTTATTAAATGAAAGGCTATAATAATAATACTAATAATAATAAAGCAAATTCTTATAATAGATTTCCATTTGGCTATCGCTGTGTATATGAATTACTGTATGACTGATCAGAAATGGAGATATTTTTCCTCTGCATAAATATCCAGAATATAAGTATCATATTTTTCTTTCAGCCATCATAAGTTATTGCAAACCATATCTCGTATCTATGAGTAAAAAATATAATTAATAATTTGTAAAAAGTGCTCACGAAATACACGTTTGAATCTGCATTTGATGACAGATTAAGGCATAGAGAAGATGACAAATTCATTTTGCTTTCACTAATCATTTCAATGGTGAGACACTTTCAGCATTGCTTTGCAAAACCAAAAAATGAAATTCTGGTACAAATCGTGACATCAAAATTGTAAAACCATTTATTAAAAAACTACTGTAAATATGTCCACAATATGTCCACCAATTTAAATGATTATTATTAATAATGATAATAGAAAAGTGAATGCAATCCACAATATTTCGTGCATTTATTATCGCATTCTTTAAATAATTTTGGTTTATATTCGAGAGTAAAATATTTCATATGAATTGCGAAATGAAATACAATTTCAGTGTAAATATTCTCTCAAATTGTTATCATTTGTAATAAAAATCGATTCATTTTATTATAATTCAAATTTAGAGCGAAAGAGAAGCAAAAAAAGTTATTGTATTTGTGTTTTGTGTTATTTTTCTCTCTTTCTTATAATAGTATAAAACTATAAGAACTCTAAGACTTATAATTCATTTAAATTCTCATTCAAATGAACAGAATTGCATAAAACATGACAAATGGCTTCAAACAAAACATGACTTCATTATAAAATATAGTTTTTTCATTATATTATAATAAAGACAAAAAGGAAAATAAAACTTCAGTTTTTTCACTTCTAACGTTAATACACATACTTTTTATTTAAAAATAAAACCTTTTCTCTGGATAGGAAGAAATCTAATTTTAAACATTAAATGCTATTTTTTGTTGTTATGTCAAAAGCATTTAAATTTTAAAAACAGGTTACGTAACACAACAAATGGGGAAGAAATGTATTAATCCGTTATATTATTTGTGTTTTCAATGCGAAAATTACTGTAAAGTAAGACGAGATTCAGTGGCTATTAATGTGTAATTCAGATCTCGTCTGTGAATTAACCACTGGTTTTATAATAACGTGAACTCAATTGTATTCAAAGGCAATTTTCAATGAAGTTTTACGTGAACTTAATTCGCGAAAAACTGTTTTCTTAATTCGCTGTCATTTAATATAGTTTTTTTTACATATTTTTCATGACTTTATAATTATAGTTATATTATTCATAAGAATGTAAAGTAAAAAAATACAAATTGTGTTCAATTTTTCATTTTATTTCTCACTCATTGTATTGTTAACGAGAAATACAAAAGTAATCTAAATTGTTATTAAATCATAAATTTTGATCCTTTGGAAATGAGAGCACTCGATAAAAATGCCAATAAAACAAAATATTGGCCATAATTTGACACATTTTCGCAAACGATTTAAATTTATTTAATATATTAATCCAATCAATAGATGCCAAACATTCAGTTAAAATAAAAATAAATAAAAACAAACATATTATTCGTTCATTAATTATATTTCGCAAAAATACTATCTATTAATAATGTACTGAATTATACGCTAAACACACGCCTAACCATTAAAAAGACTAAACATTAACTAATATTTATTGTTTTGTTGTCACAGAGAAAAATCATTAAACATCGAGTCCTTTATTATCACATTTAATTCATACTGAAAGCCATTGAAAATTGTTTAATACATAACTTTTATATATATTTTGCTTTATTAGAAACGAGATATCATTAAATATTGAGATCATTGGCAACAGAGAAAGAACTCAATCAGACGTTAATACAGTTTGAGATTTTTCATCAAAAAATTAGGACAAAAAATGAGATGAAATAATAATAAAAAAATATTTCATTTCAAAATTTTTATTGATTAGTAAAAGAAAATCTTATTAAACATGTTTGTGACGGGAATTAACTAGAAGTCAGTGGCAAATAAAAAATATATTAGATTTTGAGTTTAATTGTCCAAATCTATTGAACCCCTTCTCCTTCTCACACATACAAAACCTTCTGAACTAACATTTTTTTATGGGCTAAATATTAGGGGTAAAACATTACTTAATACTACTGTACAGCAATACATATATTAAATACAATACATATACTGAATATATAAGTATTGAAAATCATAGACAACAAGAAGGTTACGAAAGACACAGTGAGACACCGGACGTCCAAATTATCCATAATTCGCTTTTTTATAAACGTATAAAAATTGTTATCTTTTTTGGTTATATTGTCGAACACTTATAGCGATATTTTCTCTCATAAAAACATATATAATATTGTTTATGATTCACACAAGACTTATGTAAGAATTGGCGGACGTTATAGTCCAGTCGTTTTTGATATCTAACACATCTAACAATCAAGTCTTCGCGTTAGACTGAGTCCTGACACCCAATTCATCGGTGCATTCAATAGTTGATGAAAGTGTTCCCTCTCTTCCCCACTCACATCTCCAATGCCATCGCAATTCATATACATTTATATACAGTACACATATATACACACATCCAGAATATCACATAATATCTTATACTCTGTGTGTGAGTGACGTAAGGGAAGAGCACATAAAAAATTGAGTGAAAAAACGTATATATATTTTGTAATATTTCTAATCTCTTGTTCTGTTCGCTAACAAAACTTAATGAGAAATTCATAAGAGAAATAACATTTATATATAATATATATTTTTGCTCAGATAATCATAAAAACATATTTCACCCAAACATAAAGAGTCTACTGATATAATACAATGAGAAAGTACTGCACCCATGAATGGAAAGCCCTCTACGAGTCCTCTCGCAAGAGAAGCCAACCGTCGTATGAGAAACGACCGAAAGATCTCTTACCCAAACATAAAGAGTCTACTGATATAATACAATGAGAAAGTACTGCACCCATGAATGGAAAGCCCTCTACGAGTCCTCTCGCAAGAGAAGCCAACCGTCGTATGAGAAACGACCGAAAGATCTCTTCGGTCTTCGCAACGCTTTTTTGAATATGATTTTGATTTTGCAAAACCTTTTCATATCTCTGGTGTGCAAAACCTATGCGACCGAACACTACATATATTAAGTGGCGAGAGATATGAAGCGATGAGCGAATCGTATAATCATAATCATAACTTATACTTGTTTTTGAACCTTTATTTTTGGGAAAAATACTACAAAATAATAATCACAAGTCTAGTAGTTATAGTTATAGTCTGTTTTGAGAAATTATTATTATTTTTGTCTCGTTTTTTTCTCAATGACTTTTAAGTCACACAAAATTTCATTGTAAAATACACGACAAAATATAAATGCATTTTCCTATGCATTTTGAAGATCAGATAATGTCGTAGACTTTACTTTACTCTACTAATGATAATTACCATTTGCTTTTAGTTTTTAACGTAATTTTTAATAAAAAAAAGCCTAAAATATAAGGAAATAATTACGCGAATAATACACAGAAACTCGCTTTTAATGATACAAAATGGAAAATAAATACTGAATTATATATTTTTTGTGGGATTTTATTGTAATTTTACAGTACTATTTGTTGTACAGATCAACAGCGTTCGGGACTCTTGCAGTCGTCACTGATCTCACTGTACATCTGTTACCTGACGTGGTCTGCCATGAATAACAACGTGGACGACAACTGTAAGCCAAGTGTGTTCACACATACCGGCAATTCCTCGCAGTTCGACACCCAGTCGTTGGTCTCGTTAGTGTTGTTCTTCGTGTGCGTTCTGTACTCGAGTATCAGGACCTCAACCAATACACAAGTGGGCAAAATCACGGGCGCAAACACTATACTCATGAACGACACGGGCGCTACCGGTCAGTCCATACTTACGTTCACACCTATCTCTCCCCACCTCTTGTTTTTTACTAACCATTGCTTGTATTGTTTTTAGTGTAGTTTTAGTCATATTTTTTAATTTTAATTTAATTTTGATTTATTTTTGCAAATTTTAATTTTCGAGTCCTAAGTCTAAACTCCTAAAACTCTCTAAGTCTTGACTGTTATTGTGATGATTGATATTATAGGCGGATCTTCTACTCATCTCACTTCCAATGAAGGTATTGACCACTGATTGATGTCTTCAATATTCTAATAATTATCTGTATTTCGTATTGTCTTTTTAAACCATTCCTTCCGTTCACTTATTAATCGCGTTTTATTTGTGAGAAATTTTAATTATTTTAAATAATACTAAAAAACTATTGTTTTTGATTCACGACAGGCGGTGAAGACGGAGGCGAAACCGCTGAGAAAAAGGGTCAGACATGGGATAACGAAGATGAGGGCGTGGCCTACAGCTGGTCATTCTTCCACTTCATGTTCGCTTTGGCCACACTTTACGTTATGATGACATTAACCAATTGGTATAAGTATGTAATCCCATAAAACATTGTCACATGAATTGGACACTAATGTGTAATCTCTTAAAACAGTCCGGAAAAGGGAACCAAGAATTTTAGCGAAAGTGTGGGCGCGATGTGGGTTAAGATTATCTCCTCGTGGGTCTGCTGTGGACTCTATACGTGGACATTAGTGGCGCCGATGCTATTACCCGATCGGGACTTCAGCTAAAGCGACCCCTTTCTCGACAATTGGTAAACGTTTGTGGACTACGTTTACGCATATATTAGTCTTATTTTAATTATTATTATTTGTCGAGTATTTTATAAAATTTCTTTAATTATTGTATAAATAGTTTGTAAGCTATGGTTAGTATTTGTTGGCCGGTGTTGTACTCCATTCACTATAAATTGTTTAAATATATTTCAACAAATATAAGCTTAACTTTAAACTACTTCTACAAAATTTATGGTTATTTTATGAAAGACTCGGTTTATGAGCCATAGATAGTATGAAAGTTTGACGACTGTATGCGTAATGTCTCCTATCTTTATACAATACTATTTATCGCACGTAAACCTTATTTTATTCCTGTATTTAAACTTTAAACTAAATTTATTATAACTTTGATTATTAAAATAATACGTCGATTAGACCTAATGTTAATTAATATATATTTACCTTAAATCTTGTAAATCATGTAATATCTGATTATATATTATTCTGTATTATTCTATAATGTGTTTAAAAATTGTTTGAAATCCAAAATTATAGCAATTCTTTCGATTGTATCACAAATTTTTACTTAATTTTGGATTATTTTATATTATATTTGATTAAAAGCTCTAATTTATTCCCGAAATTATTTGGCATTTATTTATGCAAATGAAAAGTGTATTAATAAATGATGTATTTTAGGCAAAAACATGATAAATATATCGCAATTCTTGTCATTCTCTCAAAAAACAAGATTCTGTGAGAGAATGTATGTANTATATCGCAATTCTTGTCATTCTCTCAAAAAACAAGATTCTGTGAGAGAATGTATGTATGGATCAAATGGTGACATCTCTTGCGCACAACACTTGTCGTCAACTTTTGGCGCTTTAATAAAAAACATATGATTTTTAGCCAAAACACAAAACATGTGTTGTTTTGACATTTTTGGCGTTTAAAGAGATTTTGACAAAAAGTTTTGCAAACAATTAGTGTTAAGTCTAAACAGACAATGAGTCTATTCTTGTGCGAAGACATGTGCGAACACATGACCGAAGATATGCTCAACACATTGAAGTCGATGAAAGTGGTGTCAGTGGTGGACCTGATTGGGTACCCTTTGCCGAGACTGCGGTCGGACTGCCGTCAAAATGGCCTTCAATTCGAGGTTACCACTGAGACGACAATCGCTTCCCAATCGCTAACAAATGCTCTTCTTTTTAGACACTAATGGATATCAGAAATGAATTGTCCGAAAGATTTGGTGCCAAAAGAGTGAATGCATTTGATTTGTATCGCAAACCGCTGGACGACTATCGCGTCCACTCGTTTAAGACGGGAATTCATGAGTAAGTCATTTGATCCCACGTTTGAAGCCATTGTTTCTGAGCGAAAGATTATTTTTTTGCTCAAAGATTGGATCAAATATTGACGAAAGGGATCCGAAGGGGAGAAGTGATTCAAATCGAGGGCAACAGCGGTTCCGGAAAGACATTGTTTTGCTATACTTTGATGGCTTCTGTG